TGCAAAATGCTTATTACTGTGGTTCTGAAATTATAGTGAATTAACACATTCTTGTTGCTGACCCTTTAAGCACAATGACTTTTCCATTTAGACTCAGAATTCTTTGTTTCTCTGATAATCTTTCCATCATTAAGTGTGGTGTAGACAAATCCTGTAGTCTGATTCTTTTACAACTACTTTTTTCAGTGCAGAGTGTTCTCATTATAAGGAAATGTTAATATAATAAAATTTCTTACTGTCTCAAACTGGATTGATTTAAGGTAGTAACTACCATCTCAAAGTGCAAGTCTGCAGAATGAGGTGTCAGTGAAAGACACTTAAGTACGCTTTTGATTGTAACTTACCTCTGTCCCAAAGCTGTTGCTTTCTGATGACAGCAATTTCTTATTTCAGAATTCTGTGATGGTGTCTTTCTTGAAAATGTCAAAATGCTGTATTTGAAGTATTGTTCTTGGGCTTTTGATCTTTCTTTATGTTATTTGATACCATCATCTCATGCTTGACCTGGCATACTAAAAGCTACAATGCCTTGCATAAGAATCAACTTGAAAGAGTAAATGTTTCCTTTTTTCTGAATTATTGGTAACTTTTTTTTGTTACAGTGTAATTAAAATAGTTGGATATGATTAAATGTTGCAACTGGTGACTTCTAATGAAAGCCTCAGTATTTTTTTTATAAAATAATATTAGAATACTGTGCTTCATGCATTTAAAGGTGAACAAACCTAATGAACTGTTTTGGAAACTAGAAAGTTGACTTACAGCAATTATGGGTCTGCCTATTTAAGTAGCATTTCAAACATAAAATTGACTGCAGTCCATAGTGGATAATGAAAGAGTACATAGAGCACACTTTAGTGCAGGAAACCTTACTTATATATGGAAGACTATACCATGTTGGTACCTTGTTTTACCTAGGTATCCCAGGATACTGCTGCTCACTTTCATTAAGTTCTATTCTGACATACACTTGAGCAGAATAGAAGGTGAAGTGTTGAAAAATAACTTGAATCCTACAATTACTTTGGCACTTCACCTGGTATGAGCTAAGCAGAAGCAACAGCAACTCTGCTATCCTGCAAATGCTTTAGGAATGTTAAGTGGCTTACTTTATGGTGTCACACTAGAACAGTTATTCCTTTTCCATTTCTTAGATCTAATTTAGTTCTAAATGACTTCTTTAAAAAAAGCAAACAACAAAACACACACAAACTCCCCCCCCCCCTTTAAACTTATGCTATTTTTTCTTTCTTGTTATAAATAAAAGTGTCATATCCTTAGAAATATGGGATAACTCCCAATAAGGCCATGATTTGCTAAATTATGGTGGATGTTTGCTGTGATTAACAACAGTGAGAAAGAAAATGGCTGTAAAACCGAAAATGTCAAGCTTTTTAATTGGAATATGCACTCTTTTTTGAGTTGTTACTGTTTTGAGTTCTTATGTCAAAATGTTCAGATACTGTTATGTGAGCATTTTGCCTCTGCCTTAGTTTTTTGAATTAATCCTTTAATTAATGCCCTTTGGGATTCTCCTTCCAGTAGTGGAGTTTGTGCTAAGAGAGATCCCTTTTACAAAACTATCAAGTTAATATTAGCTGTTTCTTAAATGAGACACTATCCTCTGTGTGCCTTTTGCAAGCAAACATTGACAGACTCATAGGAAATGCAGCTGACGTTAGGAAGCTTGGGTGGGGACTACAAGGAGCTGGCAAATACTGCAGGGCTTAGTGCCAGACTTGCTGACACAACAGTACTTTACTTGTAAAAGTTTTCTTTAGGCTGCTAATTCTGTCTTCAGAGTAACTGGAACTGAAGCGATGTCTCTGACGCCAAGTTAAAATAGCTAAAGCAACAGTTTATGGCAAACTGAGAATGCTGTTTTCTTTCCACAGCTTAGATCCTCAGGAATATTAGTAAAATGAACAATCTCCTCTCTTAATGAAAGGATGAGTTATGAACAGTGCCACAGAATGAATGCACTGCAAAACAGGTCTCATCTAACTGGCAAAAACAGCTCAGAGGGAAAGGCTAGCGGTGTAGGTATCTGTAAATACCGAGCTCTGTCTGTTTTATATCATGGTTTCCATTTATTTGATTTGCCAGTTCATAGTCATATTTCCTAAGTCACGCTTTTAATAGCTTCCCTTAGTCTTCAAATAAAAATTCTTTACGTCAAGTGTATCTAGACATTGAGAAATGCTATGTTGTCAAATGCAAACGTCGTTACAGCAGTTCAACCATGTCACCTTAAGTATAATGTGTTTTGTCTTGAATTTACAATATTTCTGGTCCACGTAAAAGCCTAAGGCATAGTAAAGCAAAGCTTTGAAGGGGTGTGAAAGTGGATTCCAGCTTCTCTTTTGCAGAAATTCAGACAGCGTGTGAGGTGCGGCAACCCTGCTGTCCCATTTCTGTATGCGGGAGGGCTTTCAGGTGACATGGAGAGGAATCTTGCAGGGGGAAGCATGCCTGACTTACAGAACATAAAAACTGGTGCAGCCCTGGTGGAAGGATGCAGCTCTATTGTATAAGCATATTGGCATTTTTTGGATTTCAGCGTCACTCTTAGATTTTAGGAAGAGCTTCCTTTCCTTCCCTGGAATGCTAGAAGTACTATACAGGACTCGAAACACGTGTTGGAAGAAATGAGATTCAGATTAATTTCATCTGTTCAGTGTTTGCTCAGTGTAGTATGCCATGCCAGGTTAGCTTTAATATTATTGCCTCTTTTAAGGTAAGTAGCTACATTGTGCTGTCCCACAAAAGTAAAATCTTAGTAGGAGACTGAAGTGGCTTTGCGTAGAGCAACTGAATAGCAGTATCTTGTATCTGTGGGAGCCATTGGCTTGTGCTGACCTCAGAATTGTAGATGACGTCTAAGTCTTCTGTTCCTTGATTATTTTATCAAGGTAAAGTGAAGTATAAGCAAAATATAAGTAGAAGGAAACGCTGTTTTTAAATCATGGAGGTTTTTTGCATGAACTATTGTAATATAAAGTCAAAGATTGAACAGTTTTTCTCTGAGATCACCTTTATCATCTTTTTTAACATCTCCCATCAGTTCAACTCTGCAACACTGTGATGTCTTTCAGACCAAGATTTTTTCTTTTCCTGAAGATTAGTACTTAGAAAGCTTGCTTTTAAATCCACAAAATGTAAACTGGTGTTTTCTGAAGGCTATGTAGCAAATCACTATGTAGCCCCTGACTTGACCCAATCAAGCTGTGCAGTACAGCATGAATTTTTTGTGTAGCTCTTGGTCGCAATCTGTTCTCATGTCTCTCTGGACATTCTGTAGCACATCTAGGGAAGAACGATCCCAAGAATCAGTACAGGTTAGGGGTTGACCGGCTGGGAAGCAGCACTGTGGAGAAAAAAACGGGAGTCCTGGTAGACAGCAAGCTCTCCATGAGCCAGCAATGTGCTCTTGTGGCCAAGAAGGCCAATGGTATCCTGGGGTGTATAAAGAGAGCGTGGCCAGCAGGTTGAGGGAGGTTATCCTCCCCCTCTACTCTGCCCTGGTGAGGCCACATCTGGAATATTGTGTCCAGTTCTGGGCTCCCCAGTTCAAGAAAGACAGAACTACTGGAGAGAGGCCAGCGGAGGGCTACAAAGGTGATTAAGGGACTGGAGCATCTCTCTTATGAGGAAAGGCTGAGAATGCTGGGTCTGTTTAGCCTGGAGAAGAGAAGACTGAGAGGGGATCTTATTAGTGCTTATAAATATCTAAAGGGTGGATGTCTAGAGGAGGGGGCCAGACTCTTCCAGTTTGTGCCCATTGCCCCTCATCCTGTCACTGGGCACCATTGAGAACACAGGAAGTTCCATCTGCGTATGAGGAAATAAATTTCTTCACTCTGAGAGTGACCGAGCACTGAAACAGGCTGTGCAGAGAGGTTGTGGAGTCTCCTTCTCTGGAAATTTTCAAAACCTGCCTGAACGCAATCCTGTGCAACCTGCTCTAGATGATCCTGCTCTAGCAGGGGCATTGGATTAGACGATCTCCAGAGGTCCCCTTCCAACCCCTACCAATCTGTGAATCTCTAGGATTTACTCTTCTGTAGTGCCTGATCACTCCCAAATTGTTGCCTGTATCATTTCCCACCCCCAATCCCCCAAGTATGTAAATCTTCATTCTGAACCAGATCCTGGGTGTAATAGTGTGGATGTACCCAGGAAGGCATGTGCGTTTTTAGCTTCATACAAGGGGCTTGAGGACATGTTTGGGGAAGAGAATCGAGGCTTGTTTAACAAAAGATTAATTTCCTTTGAGGTGGTAAGAAATAACCTTTGGAGAACATTAAGTCTTTATCCTGGTCACTCAAATTTGTTGAATGAAAGAGAGTCTGATAGCTGTAATGGTGACTCTTTGCTTCCAGAGAGGAGTTTCTTTGTTGGGGAAAAATTGCGTGGTATCACTGAAGTGATCTGGACAGTGTCCAAGATTTAAACTGTCTCATGGGATGTATTGCTGGCATTCTCTGTAGCCTGTTTAAGCATTTCTGTTTACAGATGTGTGGAGTCAGCTATTTGTGGTGCAGTGAGACTGCACTTCCTGTGGGTTGAATGGTGTTGCTTAACTGTGGTCAGCGGAATTCCTTGGACAAGAGTTGAATTTTTGTAATGCAAAGTCACTAGACTTTGCCAACAATAGCTGGCAATGAATGCACATGCAAGGCTAGCATGCAATAATTTCTGATGGTGTATTAAATATTGTGGACTGTTCTTTATCTTTTTCTGCATGGTTCTGACAAAAGTGAGCTGCAAGAATGTTTTTGTAGTTATCCATTGCAGCTTTCACACTAACTCTTTACTTGTGAGCAGGATAATAAACTGTGAATATATGCAATTTTTAGAAGGCTAACGGAAAGACATGTGCTTTGACTTCAGAACACTTTTTCAGGAATTTAGTAGTTTACACCAGTTTTCTTAGACACTGATACAGTTTGAGTATCAAACGTTTGGGGGTTTTGTTTTTGTTTTTTTTCTTTTTTCAGATGGAGCAATTATCAGATGAAGAACTTGACCATGGTGCAGAAGAAGACAGTGATAAGGAAGATCAGGACTTGGACAAGATGTTTGGGGCCTGGCTGGGGGAACTGGACAAACTCACACAGGTTAGGAAGGTTTCAATCAACTCGCAGAATAATTCTTTATAAGTATTACATGTTTCTTTTCAGTTAGATGCTAACTACTTAGCACTGCCACTTGCAGCAAGGTAGACTATAGCGTGTGATCAGCTCAGTACTCCTTAAAGCTGTCTAAATTGACTTGCTTTCCCCATCTTGAAGTTGTTAAATTAATTTTTCACCACCTGCTAGTATGACCTTTCCCAAAGGGTATGATTCCTTTGAATGAGAACTACGGAATTGATACTTTGTCCTCATGTATATAGAGAAACTCTGACTTGAGTTAGGCTATATCTCCAAACATATGATTGGACATTGTCCAGCTATGACAGCATTTATTTGTTGCACCTGAGCAGTAATAAGGAACAAGAAATTGTGAATGTTGCCACTGATGACATGGTAAGGTGCCCTGATACACCCTGGAGGACTCACCGTTATTACAGAGTACTTTTCCTGCGTCAAAAAGGCAGCTAATAAGACATCTTCTTTTGGCACTTCCTTCTTTCTAGTACTTTTCCTTTTCTTCACCAGCAGATTTTGCATTTTGCATGGTATGCCAGACTCCTGGGGTGACAGACCGTTTCTCTGTGACTGCCTGCTGTGGTTTTCTTCAGCTGTGTGAGCTGGCCTTCCTGAATAATGTATTTCATCATAGAGTCATAGAATCCTGGAATGGTTTGGGTTGGAAGGGACCTCAAAGATCATCTAGTTCCAACCCCACTGCTGCAGGCAGGGACACCCTCCACTAGACCACATTGCCCAAAGCCTCATCCAACCTGGCCTTCAACACTTCCAGGAATGGGACCTCCACAACCTCTCTGGGCAACCTGTTCCAGTGCCTTACCACTCCAACAGCAAAGAATTTCTTTCTAACATCTAATCTAAATCAACCCTCCTTCAGTTTAAACCCATTACCCCTTGTCCTGTCACTACACTCCCTGATAAACAGTCCCTGACCATCTTTCCTGTAGGTCCCTTCAGGTACTGGTAAGCCGCAATTAGATCTCCCCGGAGCTGCCTTTTCTGCAGGCTGAACAACCCCAACTCTCTCAGCCTGTCCTCATAGGAGAGGTGCCCCATCCCTCCCATCAGCTTTGTGGCCCTCCTCTGGACTTGCTCCAACAGCTCGATGTCTCTCCTGTACTGGGGCCCCCAGAGCTGGACGCAGTACTCCAGGTGGGGTCTCACAAGAGCAGAGCTCTTGTGCTTAAGCCACATAGACTTAAGCAAAGGTATGATACCTCAAGTTTCAGTAAGCTAAAGAGGTGGCAGCTTTTATCATCTTCATCTTACCCAAAGACTGAAGGAAAATTGAGCTAGTCATGTGACAGCATTTCAAATTCGGGCTCATTTCTGTTACCTTCTGGTTAAATATCTGCCTGCAAGATCTAAATGTAGATAGCATCTAAAGGAAGATGATTTTATTTTTTTTTCTCTGAACTTATGCATGCAGAACAGTAAAGAATCCTGCCTTTTGAGATGGAATGGAAGACTGTGAAATAAATCTGCATATTGTAATTCTTGTTTTTTTTTTTTTTTTAACTTCTATGAAGGATTTTTAATGGTAAGCAGGAGCCATTTTGAAGGCATGGGCTCTGTAAATTAACCTCGTGTGGATCCTCACAGAGGAGCGCAATGAGTAATTAGTCTTAAGCCTTTTGTTTTCTGCCCCATTTTTTTCAGGTATGAGCAGCCTAGAAATATAAGCATACTTTACTTGAGGCTTATGGCTCCACTATTGACATACAGACTTTATGGTGATGTCTCAATTTGTGTGCTGATCCATGCAAAGTTCTTAAAACCTACTAACAAATAGTTAACAAGAGGACCCACCTTATTTCTTTCTCACTTTCATATTGCTGTACAACACAGTCTGCAGCATAGCCTGACAGTTGCCCTTCTGTCTCTTGCAACTACTGATAAATGACATTTCTCCCAAAACTTTGAATGACCTCATATGCTTTTGTATAAATAAGTTAATGCAGTTGTTATCTCTCAGTTTGTTTGGTAAGTGATTGTGCCCTGATGCAGCTGTCCCAATAAAGTCCCAATAAAGGGGGTGATTAGACCTAAGAAGCTTCAAAGTGCATTCTCCTGTAGTATCAGTATTTGTTGCTACTTATGAGCTGGACTCTAAAAGTAGTAGGAGGAAAGGGTTTTTGTCCCCGAGTGCCTTGAACTTTAACTTCCTTTTCAGATTTCCTAAATGTTTATTTGCAGGGAATTAAAAGTAAGACCCAGATTCCTTTCCAGATGCAACTGCTTTTTAAAAGATTTGTAATGGCTAAATATGCCCAGGAGAACATTTGAATTCACTTTGCCCTCTTACACTGTTGGTCTAATAAAAGCATTCTAAAATGTGGTCACAAAATTTGCAGCAAATGTGAGCAGTGTGTGGCACTGATGCAGAGTGCATTAATGTTTATTCTGCTCTATGGTGCAGGTTAAATGAAAGAAATCTTACCTTGCTTCTCATGGTCATTCAGAACTAAGCTTTTGGTGCTGTTGCAGTTTTCAGCAGTTCTCCAAACTGCTAGTTTAGCATCATAATGCATTATGGAGAACGTCTCTGCTAATAGTGAGAGCATATCACACGTGTTTCCAGGGATGCTTCCAGGGATGTGAAATTATTACTAAATTCAGTAAAACACATTTTAGGTGCTTTTAACCAGAATTTGTCTGCTTTACAGAAAATCTTTTGTGGCAGTGTATGGGTTCAGTCTGAAGGAATGAGCTCTAACTTGCCTCTTCTATCTGCAGTTTCACTGCTGCCTTTAGGGTTATAGATAGATATTTGTATTATTTTAAATTTTTTCAGCTGTTCTGTGTGGAACAATATGTAAGCTCCATCAGAGGTACTAGAGGTGAGGATTTTTCTACCTGATGGAAAACAAGGCTGTATCACTGGCTTCTCATTAAGTGATAACTGACTTCCTAATAAAGTGATTTATTTATTTATTTATTTATTTAAATTCAAGCCAAAATGAGGAGAGAAGAGAGTTCAGCAAAAGTAAATATTAGGGGGAAACAATGGTGCATTTGATTTCTAACAAAGGCTTGAGTAACGATGTAGAAAATGAAAATTAAAAGGCTTAGGTGAGAAACTTTGTTCTATTAGAGCTAGAAGATACTTTTCTTTCAGATAGGTGTATCTTCAGGGAAGCTTTATCAGCACAAGCATTGTTTTAATTCAAACCTCTGCAGGCCTTTTGAGCCTGTGACAGCAAGAGCTGATTCCCCATAAAACACTTGTTACTCAGGGACAGCAGCTCCGAACCCTGTCATGCACCTCTTGGATCACCAGCTGGATCATAGCGCCCTACTGCTTGCTACTTACAAAAATGCTGGTATTAATAATAAATATATTATGCCCATATTAGCCTTCATAACATAACAATTCAATGTATTGGGTAGAAAGATGTCTTGTCTCTTTTTTTAACCTGTATTAGTTCTTCTAAAAAAAATAATAATTATACTATGTAAACTGGGTAGGGTTTGCTTTCACAATTAACATTTTTGTGAAAAATGTCTGAATTTAGCCAAATTAAGATCCTTTTTAATAAAATAGAATTCTTCATTGAATGCTTTTGTGGTCTTATGCCATGATTATACTCATAAGCTAACGATGCATTTCTTAGAGAGGGTGCCACAGTTTGAATGTGTTTAGGTACTTGTGCAATTCACTGCAGAGAAGTTGTTACAGGTAAGCCAGTTGTCTGTGTTTCAAAATGAGCTCGTATGTAACACCACTTAAAAATGCATTTGGGGTATGATTCTGTCCTTTTGATTCTAAAGAAAACAGAATGTGTTTAACGTATTTTCCATTGAATATCTGAAGCTAAATCTCCGGTATGGTGACATATGTTTTCAGTCTAAAGCCTGAAAAAGTTAGGTGGGTTTTTTTACGTGCCAGGAGTTTTTGAGAAATTTCTTAGAGAAAATTGATTTTCATTCATCTTGAAGATTTGCTTGTCTAGTTCCTTGTCAAACTTTATTCTGCCCTTTTTCTTGTCTTTTTCAGAGTTTGGATACAGACAAACCTGTAGCACCAGTGAAGAGATCACCTCTCCGTCAGGAAACCAATCTTGCCAACTTCTCATATCGCTTCTCCATGTACAATTTGAATGGTTTGTTGAATTATTTACCCCCTCAAATGTTAGTTTAGGGAAAAAACCCTGTTCCAGCTATAAATGAGAACATTTTAAAATATAAGAGCATTTAGACGTACTTCTGGCTGAAGTGAGAACATGTTTGCTGAAGGTATTGCTTTCTGATGGCACAGAATTTTGAGTATCCTAAAGCAGTATCTTTTACAGCACCCAGTACCTGAGAACTGTAATCTAGTGTTTGTACACAAACATGTTCTGGGATCTGGTCTCATAAAGGAATGAATTGATCTCTATCTGTTAAACAGGAAGAAAGAGCATCTTGTTTCATTGGACAGGATATAGGAATATAGCAACAAAATGCTTTCATGTTAAACAAAAATTATGTTTTTCCTTGTCTTAAAATAGCTTTCCTTGGTTTTAATACAGGAAGCCTTAATATAAAGGCTCGAATATGTGTATAGTATTTTGCAGGGTTTTTTTAAAGCAGTGTCACATACCTTGTATTGCTTTAGTAGAAAATGCCTAGCAAAACACCTATGCTTTTTTAAAAAGTTGAGGCATGATATTGTATAAATGTGTGGTTTAGATTCTCTTCACAGGACAACAGTTTACAGTTTTCAAATGTAATCTGAACATTCATAGATTTCTTCTGTCGGCAAAATATATTTAACCTAAATAGTGGGGTTTGGGTTTGGTTTTTTTTAGTTGTACTTAGACTGGTCAAGAGTAGCACTGCAAAGAGATTTGTGCTTAGCAGTGAGCAGAGATTTTGCAGTACAGATGGGAAAAGAAAATGCAGCTTCCTTTGCTCCCCTAACCTAACTGGAAAGTGAAGAGTTTTACAGACAAATTAAGTAACTCTGCATGTACTGAAAACTCTTGTTTGTTGCAGAAGCTCTGAATCAGGGGGAGACTGTGGATCTAGATGCCCTCATGGCTGATCTCTGTTCCATAGAGCAGGAGCTCAGCAGCATTGGGTCTTATTCAGCAAACAATGCTGCAGTGAAACGCCTTGCCACAGAACCCAAAGCCCAGAAACCACCTGCTAGCCGACCTTCTACTAAGCACAGCAGCATGAAAGGATTATCCTCCTCATCTGGTAAGGTGACTAAACCATCACATGCCAACATATCTTTGGATGACATCACTGCACAGTTAGAGAAGGCCTCTTTGAGCATGGATGAGGCAGCCCAACAGTCTGTTGCAGAAGACACCAAACCACTAGTTACTGCTCAGCACAGGAGGACAGCATCTGCTGGCACAGTGAGTGATGCTGAGGTGCGCTCAATCAGTAACTCCTCCCGTTCCAGCATAACCTCTGCAGCTTCCAGCATGGACTCCTTGGATATTGATAAGGTGACAAGACCTCAAGAACTGGACTTGACATCACAAGGGCAACCAATCACTGAGGTAGTGTGTCATTCATTCAAGATTTTGGTTTGATTAAGGTTTTTTTGCCTTCAAACTCTCTTCTTGTTTTTTTTCCCTTTTTTTTTTTCCCTTCCCCCTCCATCTCTCATGCTGATACTCCTAGCTGAACGTCTTCAGTGCAGTGGGGCTGATTAAAGATAGCATGTGCAGCCCATGCAAAAGCAGTAGCTATTCCTTTCTCGGTTTTGTTTCTGTCTGCAAGGAATCTTTTTAAAGAATGTGTACTTTTTTTTGTTAAGGGCTTCCCCATCTCTTCCGCCTCCTAAGCCAGTCACAAATTTCAGTGTTTTATAGTTAATGGTTTCATTCTAAGTAAGTCTCACATTGCTTTTAATTTAAATCTGAGGAGCACACAGCTATGGAAAAAAGAAAGTACAAGTGACAAGACCACATTCCTGTTACCATACACTTAATACCTGAAACACAGAGCAATTTATGAGTGCCTGTCTGAAGCTATACTATACCAGTAGTTTGTTGCTATTAATATTCTTGCTTAATGTATGACAGGGAGAACTCTTTGAGGCAATGCACAACACAGAACAACAACTGGGCTGTGATACAGCAGTAGCAGATGTTCATTTTGGATTTTGGTGCTTTGGTGTTGCTTAATCAGAGAGGAAACTTATCAGTAAAAACACAGCCAATTTGGGCAACATTCAAAGTGCTGCTGACTTATGTGAGGAGATGTGGAAAATGTTCTGGTGAATTTAAAGAACTTAAACTAGAAGCTGTCTTGTAGGAATATTCTCTGAAACAGAAATCTGGTCTGTTCAAAAGTCAGTTGTACTAATGTGCGTGTTCTCTTTTATGGGAGAAAATTGAAACAAGTTGAGTTTATTCTAATCAATAATTAATTTCAATGAGCTGTGCTGAAAGCATGCCTCTACCCATCTGCAGCAACAGTTAATCTGATGTAAAGAGTGAATGATGCAGGCTTGTCAGTCTAATGATCAACTCAAGGTTACACTTAGATTTAAATCTTTATTTGAAATGGTGAGAAATGAAGAAGTAACAGTTTACCTAAACTTTCTTTTGTATAAAAAGTTAGTGTTCAGTATGTTTTTATTGGAGATTCATATTGACTGAAGCAAAACAGAGGTAGATAGAAATGTGTCCTTTTGTCTTTGAAAAGTTAAAATGCAAACCTTCACATTATTGCTGTAGGCCTAAGAGTTGGAGCCAGCCTGTGACAATCATTGATTATATTGTTGTTTGCTTGTCAGTCATTTTCCTTCTGTGGTATGACAAGGCCTATTTCTGGGGGTTTTTTTGGATTTTTCTTATTCATGCTGTGGTTTTTTTTATTTTTTTGTGGAAAGTTGGGTAATATTGCATTTTTGTCTCTCCTCAGGCTAAAAAGATTATTTACTTGAATTAATCACTTCTGTAACTTGCACAGCTCAAGAGAGACTTGAATTTTGCATTTCTTCATTTTCAGAAATGCAAGATGTTTTCTGCAGTTAATTTTGCAGGTCTCCCGCTAGATCTCAGCCTGTCTTCTTACTTCAGGACTGATATGCTTGAGGCATCAGTAAGATTGCCCTTCTTGTCTCCCAGATTTTTCAGTTCTTTGTGTGGCATGAGTAATCAACAAACCAATTGCTGCACTTAAGTAACTTGATGTTGGTGAATCAAGAGACTGAGGTCAAGAAGTTACTTTGTCTTCACCGGAAGCTAATCTATGTTGTTGCAAGTGTTGCAGTTGCTTTCTCAGTTGCTTGCTGAGCTCTTAGCCACCGACTGCAAGGCTCAAAATCACCCCCAAAAGCTTTTCTCAAAGACATGAGAGGTGCTTTTGTAAACCTGGTGATTGCTTCTCATAAGAATGTGGCTATTGTTCATCTGCACAGATAAGTTGATAAGAATGATTCCTTTGAAGGAGGTAACCAGAAAGTGTTGGTAATTTGAGAGCCAAATTCTGCTCTGCTCTTGAGAGCAGAAACCTCTACGCTTTGTTTTTGCTCTATCTGTTCTTTAATTTCAGTAGCCTGAGGAAGGTGTTCCACTCTGACAAATTTTCCCCAAGATCACAGAATTGGTATTTAACTATTCAGTATTAAAACTGTTATGTGATGGGATGGGACTTTTTACTGTGAAGCAACTTTTTTTTTCTTATCGTTGGTGAAAGGAAAAGGGGAAAATCACATTTGTTTGGAGTTTGTGACAGACTCTGTGGTCATAGTTATTGTTAAATAAAATTCACCTTATAAATGGGCAGAAACCCAAGGATTCTTTGATAAAATCATTGGGTACCAACAAAGGAGTTTATTTCCTTTTTCATTCATTTAGTGCCTGAAAACTATTGTTTAGGGTTTATTAATCTTCATGGCTAGGTTATGAACCAAAACACCTTTTCCTAATGTGGAAAAAAAGTCACCCACACAGGTGACTCAATGGTGCTGTTTCTAATGGAGGACATCCCTCTGAGAAAGTAGCCTTTGAAGAAAACATAATGTCCATGTAAGGAAAAAAAAAGTTTTTTATGTGTAAACTGGGAGAGGCTAATATTTCATGGCCATAGCAGATCTGTCTTGAGATTTGTTATTCTCACATAGTGCTTTAAGTTAGCTCTCTTCTTTTTGCCTGCTTTCCTTGAGACTGTCTGTAGTTGAGCTGACCTTTAAAATTTTTCTCTGCTGTTATGGTTCTTACAAAAGAGGTCAGTGACTTGGCAGCTCTGCCCTTTTGACCGATCCTTTCTGTTGTCTCCAGGCAGTATAGGGACTTTAAAAAGTCATCCTTTCTTCCACAACTTAGTTTTACTGGAATCACAAGAGTATAACAATAAGTAAAATGAAAGACTGTTTTGATAGGCAGAAATGCTTGTCTGAAAAAGAATACTGAAGTTAACTGCAAAGCTTAATTTCCTATCTTAAAAATAATTCTGCTGTGTATTTAAGAGCTC